CGTAAGTAGCATCCCACACTAGGGCTTTACCTCTCTCCCAAGGGACCAATGTCATACCGTCGGGTCTCCCGCCATCGTCTCTAAATATTCCACAAGGCTCTAAATCCGAGGGAACATATATAGAGACAAGAGCCCTTTGGATGACATTGTTCAAAGAACTGAGAGATTTTTCGTGAAAAGACAAAGAACTGAGAGACTGTTTCGTGAAAACCTACTAGCGCTTTTCTTACATGAAAGTGCGTGGAGCCCAAACTTGTCGACGCTGCTACCACAGGGGCACTCATGGAGTTGACAAAGCGCAGCTCCTAGTCGGATTCCTACAGCAATACGCAAGCTTTCCCCATCAAGTAATGTGCCGAGATTACTTGATGGTAAAGCGTGTAACCAGTGACTAGATTCCTTAGTCGAAACAGCTAGAAGGCGTGCCTTATCTTGGTCACTATGGAAATTATGAAACAAATCTTTCTGCACGCCCCGTACCAACGGAATATCCCACTGTTTTTGTTGGTTAACTTCCAGTGGAACATTTTCACCGGGACAGAGCGTTTGCCATGTCTGCCCTGCCTCCGTAGCAAAGTATAGGTCTACTTTATTATTTAAAATTATGTTACGTAAGTCACTGAAAGTATGCACGGAAGCAAGGAAAGCAGGCAATGCAACGCTAGAAAGATTTCTCACACCAATGCCACCAAATTTTATAGGTAAAGTAGCTTGAGTCCAGGCTGTAGTATTTAAAGTTAAATTTATAATTTTTCCTATAGCTATTTTAAGATTATTATCAATATCTTTTAAAATATCCGAACATTTTCAGACTGGACTCGTGCGAAGTAAGTATGTTAATCTAGATACAAGGAGACAATATTTTAAAATAGTAAGGGCTATGTGGGGGTTTAATTTCTATAATTTATCAACGTGGTTTAAAAACTGATCAAATATTGTTTTTAGAACAGGTTTCATAATTACTTTATTTTACTTATCTTCTTCTATATATTTTCTTCACCATTCGGTCTTCACTCATTCGCTCAACGTGCCCAAACCATCGAAGCACGCCCTTATCAATTTTTGTGATAAGGTCTTCTTTCAAACCTGCCATATTGCGAATCTCTTCGTTTCGCTTTCGGTCGGCCATTGTAACGCTGCACATTTTACGAAGAGATCGCATCTCCACTGCATTCAACTTGCTTTTATGCTTCTTCTGGCATCCCCAGGTTTCGCTGCCATATAACAAAGTCGGTACCAACACTGCGTTATGTATTGCAAGGCGTGCACTCTTCACTACGCCTTGCCTTTTGACTACACACTTCGTTCTCTCTTCGTACCTTTCAAATACCAGAACCTTAGTTTTATTAGCATTCAAACGGAGACCTTTAATATCACATTCCTCTTTCATACACGTGACTAATGCCTGCAGTTCTGCCTCTGATGGTGCAATAAGCACTGCATCATCAGCATACAGCAGACAATTTACTTTTATGTCACCCAATTTCACACCCAAACAGCTATCTTTCAGCTTCTGTAAACAGCTGTCGAGATACAGTATGAACAGCCAGGAAGACATGACACAACCCTGTTTTACGCCCGTTTGGACGTTAAACATGGCTGACAGGTTATGCCCTACCCGCACACAAGCTTTACAGTCACAGTGAAATGACTGCACAGCCCTTAGCAATCGACCATCCACACCAAACCCGGGCAACAGTTCCCATATTTTCTTCCTTAATACCTTATCAAATGATTTCTCAAGATCCACAAAAGCACAGAAAATCTTCTGGTTAGCAGCCAGAAGCTTTTCCGTGATCATGTGGAGATAAAACATTTGATCCGTGCATCCTTTTCCAGTTCTAAATCCGCATTGTGCCTCTCATAGAAATTTTTCCGATTTCTCTTGCATCCTACGTGTCAAAACCTTCGAGTAAACTTTACTTGATAAACTGGTCAAGCTGATCGCCCGATAGCACTAGCAGTCAAATGTGAACCTTTACCTTTATATAAAGGCATAATGACTGCGGATCGCCAATCATCCGGGACATCCCCCGTCCGCCAGCACAAATTGCACAGCAGACGAAAGCTGTCCCAGACGCGAGGCCCACCATACTTGACCATTTCAGCAGTAACTCTGTCTAGTCCCGCAGCCTTACCACATTTCAAACATCGAATCGCACGTTCAATCTATTTCATACTGATGACCTCAGTGTCATCGAAGTCCGGGTCTGGCGTACCAGTCACGGCGTCACCCCCGGATCCCTCGCTAAGATCATCACCCGCATACATTTCTCTATAAAATTCGCTCCATCGCTGCATGACGTCCGATTTTTCTGAGAGGACGTCATTAGTTCTCGAAAGAACATTGTTCATTCTTAAGGCCAACGCACCAGTTCGTGTCCTTCCAAACTCTTTCTAGAAGAGTTTGGAGTTCTCCTTAAAGTTGTGCGACAACCTTTCGTCCGCTTCCATTCTACACCTTTCACGCACTTCCTCAATCAATGTTTTCGTATGAACTTTCTGCAGCTTATATCTTTCTTTCATCTTCTCTCTCTTATCCTTATCATTACTAGAGGCCAAGTAGTCTAACCATGGTTTCTTCTTCTGCTTTACAGCTTCTTTCACTTCATAATTCCACCATGCATCTCTTCTTTTACTACTACCTCTTTTTGTCGTTCCACACACTTCTTCTGCTGCAATAACCATTCCATCCCTAAGGTTCTGCCATGTTCTTTCCACACATTCCTTTCTGCCATCAATGGTGTCAAGCTTTTCGGCTACCCTCGCATGACATTTGTCCCTAGTATCCACTTCCTGAAGCTTCCAGCTTCGGATGCGACAGACCGACTGTGGTTCTGTCACTGCCCTCCGGTAGCGCCAACCCGCGAACAGACCCCTAAATCTAGTAATCACTAGATAGTGATCCGTTCCCAGGTCAGCACCCCTGAACACTCGCGTATCCATCACCTGTTTACGCAGTCGGTCATCCACCAGGAATAAATCGATCATACTTCTCTTATTCTTTCTTTCTCTAGTATACATATGGATTTTCTTGTGATTAAACATAATATTTGTCACAAGAAGACCCTTTTCCTTGTATACAGCCAGTATAAGCTTGCCAGCACCATTAACCCAAACTTTATCGCCAAACTTTCCAAGCACCAACTCGTACCCTGGTCAAGCGGTAACAACCCATCCATTCAAATCACCACATACAACAATTCTTTCGTTTCCCCTAACCAAATCTAGAACTTCCCTTACATTCTCCCAAAACTCCTCCAGCTCAGCCCTGGACGACGAAGCTACCGGTGCATAAACAGCCAAAAAGAATAACTTCGTCAGTCCCAATTTAAAGCGAACCCAGACAAGTCTTGAGTTCACAACCTTATATTCAGTCATCACATCGACCAACTGAGACGACAGCAGCACCCCTTTCCCTGGCAGGCGCTCTCGCCCTCCGGGACTCCGGACTATAGAGCTAACGTCCCGCCGGGGAGCTCTTCAGTACCACTGCCCTTCCGTTTGGTCTCCGACATACACACGACATCTAATTCTCTTTCTTTCATTATTTCAATCAGCTCATTCGTCTTATCTCTCATGCCTCCTCTAACATTCCACGTGCCAACTCTGTACTCTGTCCTCCACCTTCCGCCGTGTCGGGCTGTGCGTGATGGGTGGCGGTCCCCATCGCCGCTTTTTGCGCTGCATTTCACACCCTGGTTGGCATGGGTGCGCAGCTGTGTAGAATTACAGCCCTGAAAAGGGCTGGCAGGGGTCGCCGCGAGCACGCTTCTACAATGACCCCCAACAGGTTTAATACTATCGAAAAACAATGGGGCACCTAGCAGGTATAGTGATTCCGTACTGACAGTTTTTATTCCTGGAGAAACATGATTGAAATTTAGAATTAAACTGTGTCTATGGGAAGTAGATAAATTATTGAAAAAAAATATTTCACATTTATTGCCATTTGGTTCAAGACAAGAACAATTCTCACAAGAAAATTTCGAAAAATATGAGGAAGATCACTGAGGACGTCATCTGCTCTACCTCCCAGTGTACCGTCGTCCAGGTACCAGACATTCAGCTTGGATTTCAAATTTGAAATAATGGGTTGAATTCCCAATCTGAAAAGTACTGGACCTAGTGAATCACCCTGCTGGACACCGACAGCAGAATCGATAACATGGTTTTGGTAAAACAAGTTAGTATTTTGACTATAACATTGCCAAACATAATGATAAATTTCGGGGGTATTGTTAGCCACTTCTTTCAGCAAGGTTACCCTATCGATAGAGTTAAAAGCATTCCTTAGGTCAACCTTCACAAGAACTATTATAATTATAATAATAGTGACCGCCCCGGCTTCGCCTATCAATTTATGTGGCGTTTATATTATTCAGATATAAATATAAACATCAAAGACTACTTTCTTATAATTTTTTTCATTTATATCTTTATTTTTTTATTGCTCTCTATCTGTTTATCAAGTTTCATTACAATCAGTTCAGCCATTCCAAAGATTGGCCCGGGTGGAGAGACAGATAAACAATTTAAAAATGGAGTTTAATAAATATCTGTTATTTCGATATCATAGACAGACATTTCAATTTTATTTATATTTATAGATAAAAAATTAATTAAATAATATTACAAATATTAAATAATATTGAAAAAATATAAAGTAACCGGTAATCTCCCACTTGTTCTAGCAGTGTAAAGTATCGCTCAGGAAACCAAGAGGAATCAGTTGGTAATTTTACGAGTTTCACTGTTGTTACTATGCCTGCCGGGGTATTTTACTCGTGAAGGTAAGGAAGATCGTGTTGCTGAGAGGATGCCCTGTGTTACATTGAGATGGGTAGTGATGCTGTTGGTTTGCATACTTTGGTGTTATCATGTAATTGGGTCCTGATACTAAGCAGGGTTTGTTACCGAGTAGTGTTCTTGTATCTAAAATATTTTGAGATAATTTTTAACATCAGAAGTTGAATAGTTTCTTACAATGTATTACTAACCTTGAAGGAAATTGACTGTCTTGCACATCACTTCCCCGAAGTACCACAGCAACGTTACGGCTTTAGCAATTTGAACCGGCATGCAGAATAGTGTAACGAGCAAATCCGCCACTGACAGATTTACCAAGAAGATGTTTGTAACACTGAAACAATATAAAAAAGAATTGTTTTAATTTGGTATTAGCTAATTAAAGCAATATTTCAAATATTGAAAAGTAACACAATTGAAATTAACAGAGAAAATAAATATTATGTAGTTTTTTGTTTACGTTTATTTAGAAATCTTTATACGAGCTGTGTTTTTAAATATCAATCTATTTCACTTTTTATGAGTATATGTATGTAGACTTCAAAAGCGGGCGTACACTCAGCCGCCCAAGTTGCCTCGGTGTATGTGATGGACTGAAAACCAATAATATTACGTAGACCGGTCTTTTCCGTAGTTTCATGGTGAATCATAGGGTTTTTTATAAGTGTACATTCCAAAACTTATAATGTTGGTGAATACTTTGTTTCATTTATCTTTTAAAGATAATTGATAGAATGAGGCGTTTTATTTTAGGGAATCCATTATATTAAAGTTGTTAAAAATTAATTTCCTCAGATCCGCGGAATAAAATATTTATAATTATTTCTTATATTTACGTGAAGACTTCACATTGAATAAAACTATGTTTTAATATCTTTAAATTTAAAAGCTGAAGATACTCTGGGTGAAGTTTTACATCGGATTGTCAATTACCTCAGTTCCCCAGTGAACATGAGTCCTGCAAGCATTCGAAACGTCGGGAATTAAAAACAAGTAAAATTAAATGCGATAAAACGCTTTAAAATATTTTTATTCAATCTCTATTCTTATTGGGAAAATGCTTACACATAGCCAAAATCATCGCATTAGAACAACCTCGCCTTTTGTTTGATGATTTTTAGGATGGATGACTTCATCTGTGGCGCTATAAAATCTGCAACGTTAACAATTACCACTTCTGCAACGAAAACAAAAACGCTAACAACTACCATTTTACTGTTTTGTTCCGTTTCTTAGGTATTTTTCCAAACGACGATCAACGAAGATCCCGGGAAAAAGAGAGGGTTTTTTTTTATAGGATAGGGTGACAAAGGAGCACACAGTCCACTTGATGGTAAGTGGTTGCTGTGGCCCATAGACATCTAGAGCGTGAGAGCGTGGTCCTTCCCCGATCGAGCCGACCCATTCGTGCTACAACTATACTACTAATATAGCTGCAGCATGGCTCTACCACGTATATATATATATATATATCTATATATATATATATATATACAAATCAAAAAAATCAAATATCAAAAATATCAAAAAAAAATACACTAATCTCAGAGCTTATCTTACAAAAATATTTTAGCAAAATTCCAGTGAAATAATATCTTCTATCTACCATCCTGTCTAAAGTATCAAGTATAAACCTTTATCTTGGTGATTATAAACAACATTAAATGCTTATTTGTCAAAATATAAAAATAATTTGTTTTTATTTACTTTCATTTTGTTGCTTTCAAATTAACTATATACAATGACAAACAAGCACGCGGTTCACCTGATTGCATTTGGATGCTATGGTCATTAAAAATGTACACCTATTCTATACGTGATAAAGCCATGCTGCAGCTATATTTGTAGTATAGTTGTAGCACAAATGGGTCGGCTCGACCGGAGAAGGACCACTCTCTCACAGAATACCAGCGTAAAATAGCGGCTTAACACTGCTGTATTTTGTATGGTGAGTGTAGAGAACCGGAGACCCTTTTTACTGGAAAAGAGGCATTCCATCTTAGTCCTCATGGGTGACAACGTATCTGCATATTGATTCGCAAACGAGGATAGATGTAGATGTTTTTGGGCCACAGCAACCACTAACCATCAAGTGGACTGTGTGCTCGTTTGTCACCCTATCCTATAAAAAAAACCTATCATCGATTAAGAATTATCACGTACGCAGACACGCTGTTACCCATTGAAGACCACTTCACAAGTAAAAAAGGTATCTGGTTCCCTGAACTCAGCATACGAAGCGCTGCAGCATTATTCCACTGTTTCACGCACGTACTACAGCTATGTATGTATAGCTAGCTTAGCTGTAACGTGGCTCTACTATGTAAAAAAAAAATATGGTTAGGGATAAAAACTGATTAATATTGTATTATTTTATATAATAAGTGTTCTGTTCATAATTATGATGCCGCTGACTTTTCGTTTCAACTCTAATCTCAAACTCACAAAAACTTATTTTCAACTAACTTTATCAATGCGCAGAACACGTAATGAAAGCTCTCTGGAGGTATAATTTTTATCAGAATTAATTAACAAATATCATCATAATAGCATATAAAAGATAGAAGATAGTTGTAAAAGTTTCACCTGATTTATTCATCATCATTCATCGTTACAGCCCTTCACAAGGCCCCTACTAAACATAGGCCTTCCTCAAGGAATGCCACAAAGCACGGTCCTGAGCTACTTGATCCATCGACTTCCTGTATATCTTACCAGTTCGTCACTCCATCTAGTAGGGGGGGGGGGGGGGCGCCGTAAACTTTGCTTATTGGTTCGGTGGTTGCCTTTGATTGTGGCAGACAAAATGCGGAAGGAATACAGAATTACAATTTTAAAGAAACCTACAACTCTACTATCACTGTGAAATTGATTTCTTTCAGACATTGAATCCTTTCGAATCTCTGCGAAGAGAACTGTTTAATTACAGAAATAATTAAGGGAGTTGAGGGCGTGGGTACGTGTGAGTTCATGTGTACGTGCGTGGTTTTATTTAAATAATTGCTATAAGTTAAAGGGTTGTTTAATAATGAGACAATTGGTACACCAGACGACTCGTCGAAAATTTGAGAACAATTATTAAATGTTCACAACTTTGAATTACCTAACTATAATTATATAATACTAGCGACTTGCCTCGGCTTCGACAGGATAGGATCTACTAATGTCGCGTTATTTAGTTTTATGATAATCAAATACCATGTACTTTATCATCTTTTCGATTTATTTTAAAAAAAAACATTAATCTTTATACTTTTTTAAGGAATTAGCTTATACATATTGAAATCTGTCAAATATTTCAACTCACCTAAAGCGGCGCCGCCATGGTGGCTAAAAGTTTTGGATACCCTCATTAAGAAAGGATTTGAATGAGGTTTTTATCAAATAAATTTTAATCAGGGGTAATCCCATTTTTTTTATAGTAGAGGGGGCAAACGAGCATGCGGCTCACCTGATGGTAAGTGACTACCGCCGCCCATGAACAACTGCAACAACAGGGAGGGAATTGCAGATGCGTTGCCGGCCTTTTAAAAAGGAGTACGCTCTTTTCTTGAAGGTCCCTAAGTATGATATAATATATATATATATATATATATATATATATATATATATATATATATATATATATATCCCTATATATAAATATATCCCTATATATATATATTCCCTATGAACTTGGAGCGAAAAATTCCTCACCTGACAGTGATAATAGGGGATAAAAAATTTAATGTTACTATTTAAGTGACATTCTAACTTATATCTTGAACTTCTGTTGCCTCAGTTCACAAAAGACAGTTAAGAAACTGTTAATAAAAAAAAATTAGAGGGCTTTCCAGTTCTACCTCTATACACTTACTTCCAATTCCTGTATACACTATGTCTTAGCACCGACTTCAGAAGCTGTTGTGCGGAAATTATTTTGTTCTAGTTAGTTTAATAAACTTGGTTTTCACTTTTTATTAAATTATTAATTTTGAAGTTTAAAACTTGACAAAATTAAACTTCGCCGAGAACAAGCATATTAATAAATTATACTGTCACTGCCATCTAATTATAAAAGTTTCAATACACAAATTAGCTTAAATAACAAATTTAATTAATCTGACGCTGGCATTAATGCTAGCTTATTCATTTATTTTATATGCTCATTATTCATAATTGAATTGTATTGAATTAATTGACTTCATTCATTATCCGATATTGTTGTGAATATAATGGTAGACTCTACCGATAGAAAAATAAAAGATCTACTCTATAGTGTGCACAGAAATTATATTATAATAAAATTCTTCGCCAAGAGTGCCACAAAAACACATTCCTGAGCCACCTGCATCCTTCAATTTCCTTCATATCTTACCAGGTCGTCACTCCATCTAGTGACGGCAGGCCTATATTTAGCAGTGAACTTGTGAATGGATGTAATGAAGATGATGAAGATAATTCCTCGCTTTCCATAAAACTATCGGATAACCAAATTCTTAGCGGATCTCCAATTCCTTGTTATCGACATTCCACGTATTCGAACTGAAGTTTTCTTCGTCTTTCGTAAACAGCAACGGAGTGGAATTATTTGCCAGCATCTGTATCTCCATCCAATAAAACGTAAGTAGGTGTCTTCAAGCAAGAGTGAATAGATTTTTTGCGCTTAAACATTGCAATTTATAGTAAATTACGTAGTAAAACACTGGTTTATACTCGGTGATGCTGTATTGAATTTATATTGAAAATAACTTAAATAAAATGGAAATTGTGTGTTATCACTTTCGAGTTTGTCATTTATCGTAATTTCTTTTTTTGTTGCAAACTGATTTTAACATAAATCTAATACATTATGCAAGTAAACGTGAAATTAAATCGATAAGCCGTAATTTGTTATTTTGTGACAAAAAAAATATTGAAAATTTAAAAGTGATTTATGAGCGTTATTATTAGGCATGGCCTATTTATCTTTACGAACGAAAGTTACCTCATCATCAAGAAAATTTTATGAAGATAAACTTTGTTCTTTATACCATGTTATTTGGACGCATAGTTTAAGAGATAATGTAAAATTAAAATAATTAAATACTTGGCTGGGCGCGCGAACGACGCTTAAACCCTAGCCGTTATAAAATGCTTGAACTAGGTCATGTCGCGCACCTCGGACACGTGATGACGCGGGTAAAACCGCGGGGCACAGCTAGTAATAAATAAAAGACCACGTCAGATTACAGGAGGAGCCGGATTATACAGGGGCTGGATTACCGGTGGTCCACCAGATAGAGCAACTAATT